CGTAGAGCACCGGACTCACGCCGTCCAGCACAACGTGGCGCAGCGTCACCTCGCTCACACCGGCAGGCACAACGAACACCGACCGCACCGTCACGCCCTCGCGGACAAACACACTCGGCGCGGTGCCCGCAGCGGGCGGCAGTGCGGGAGCTCCCACAGGCACGCACGCCTCGCCGTGCCCGCCGCTGCCGCACGCGCACACGCACACACCGTTCCTCATGCTCGCAGACGCAGTCCCGGGCGCGTAGCAGTGCGTGTCCCTTTCGCAGGCGTCGCACCCAGCAACGTCGATGCTCCCAGCGTCGCCAAAACCAGCCGCTGCGTACTCCTCCGCCGTCGACAGGACACGGCCACCAGCGTCGTTGCACGCCACCCTCAAATGCGCCCCAGCCGAGAGCGACAGGCTCAGCGACAGCATCCGCGGCAGCACCGCTCGGTTGCGCACAAAGCTCAGCGTGCTCCCAGCAGCGGTCACGGCGCCAGCGGCGTGGAGCATCTCTTTCGAGACGCCGTCGTGCACGTTGCCCTTCGCCAGAAGCATCGACCCACCGGCCAGGCTCACCGTCGAATAAAACGCAACCGCGTATTCCTCCGTCGACGAAAATTCGCTCCGCACAAGCACCACGGCGGAGCCCGACACGCTCACAGCCCCACGCACAGACACCGCGTGCTTGCACAGCAGGAAGTCGCTGTCAACAAACGCCACCACGGAGCCGCCGCTGGCCGCAACACCGCTCTCCACCGACACGCACAGCCCCAGCGCCGTCTGCACCGACAGCCCGTCCACGTAAAGCGCTCCGCGCGACGACAGCGCCACGCCGCCAACAAACAACACGCCAACAGCGTCACGGAACACAGCCGCCACATGCGTGCGCGCGATGGTCAGCACGCTCCCAGTCAGATTCACGCTGTGCACCACGAGGCACGCGGACGCGTCGCCAAGGCCGTAGGCGCCGCGGTACGCAACATGCTTCTCCGCAATCAGCACCGAGTCCACCACGGTGATGCGAGAGCCCGGCGGAAATCGGTTCGCCACCACCACGCCGCCGCCGGAGCGCGACTCAAGCCCGCTGATCAACACATCGGCGCGGTGTTCAGCAGGCGGGTCGGACCGCCACCCAACAACGTACAGGCTCGCTCCGCGCACAAACGTGCAGTTCGCCAGCGTCACGTTGCGCACGCTCCCTGACATCGACTCCACATCCACCACGACGTCTGCCGCAAAGGTCACACCAACGTAGCACACCACCGACGTCCCGAGACCGGCGTTCACCTCCACATCCACACGCACGTCACGCACGCACAAGTCGGCGCCGTCGGTGCTCGGTGGCTCGGGGACAGCGACAGGCAGGCACGCATCGCCATGGCCGCCCTCCGCGCACGTGCAGGCGCAGCCATCACTCAAAGCCGTCGTCGTGTACGCAGGGAAGCACGATGCCGCGAGGGCGCATGGGTCGCTGCAGCTCAGGATAGTGGCATTGTACACGGACGGGATGCTGTATTTCACTCTCTCACCGCCGTTCACAGTGTTGCACGCGGCCACAATCTCCCCTTTTTTGAGGTCGCTGGAAACTGCAGGTATCCACAGCGCTTTCGTCATTCCCGTGCTGGACATGAATTCGTTGCCAGAAACAGACAATGTGGAGTCACAGAGATTCACTTTGGGATAAAGAGAAGCAAAAGCATGCAATGGGGATTCACGGCATAGGTTGCCGCTCAACTGCAGCCAGGAGTTGTAGTAGATGTTGGAGGAGTACCTTGAATAAAACACAGCCAAGCTTCCCTGCATGTCGTTGCCCTGAAACACAACAGCTGAATGAGACTCCACACGTAAGATCGACAAAATGTTCATGAAGTACTTCACCGGCCTCGACACAACGTTGCCTCGGATCACCAAAGCAGAGCTGTTCAGTACGTTCAGCGGCAAAGACTGTCTAGTTCCCTCAAGATGTATCAGAGTACTGTTAGCGCCAGCCATATGAAACGTGTTGCCTAACACCGCAAACACGGAGTGCCACGACACCCTCAGCGCAGATCTGACAACGTAAATGGCGCTTGACGATGCCGCCACGGCGTGAAACACATTGCCGCTCAGCACCACCGCGGAGTCGTTGCTGATCACCAGCCCATTCATCGCAACACACGACGGCTTCCTAAGGACCAAACCCGACCGAGGGACCAGCCTCGTGACCGTAAAGCGGTTCCCGCTGATCGTGATGTTCGTGTGTTGTGGAAACCCACCCTCCGGGCTGAGCAGCGCGTCACTAAATGTGTTGCCGGTGACGAAGATGTTCAGCGACCCAACAGCGGCGTGCACGTTGCCCAACAGCAATAGCACGGCGCCGTCCCTCCACGTGCATCCATCGAACCTGACATTCGCCACGTCGCCCGTCATCCCCCCAAGCAGCACCGTCAGTCTCATGCCGACCCCGCTGAACGTCACGTTGCGGTAGCACAGCCACGACAGCCCGCTGCCCACAGACTGCGCCACCTCGGGGTACACCATGTCGCTGATGCACTCACCAACCGGCGGCGGTGGCGGCGTGGGTGTTGCTGGTGGTGGTGTTGTTGGTGGCGGCGGTGGCGGTGGTGGCGGCCCAGCAGGCACAGGCGCCGGGGCGCACACATCGCCGTGCCCTCCAGCAGCGCACTGGCACTTGCAGTCAATGACCGCCGTCGTCAGCGGTGCAAAGCAGTCGCCGTCCTTCGTGCACTCCCCGCACGCGGCAACCGTCGTCACGTTGTTGATGCCGTGGAGCGCCAGTTCTGCCGCCGTCGTCACCTTCCGTCCCGCGACCGTCAGACACCCAGCAACGAACCGGTAACCGGCCTCAATCCGCTTCAGCAAGGACACCGACAACCCCGTCGAGCCCATCTTGCAGCCCGTCAGCGTCACCACACTTCCGCCGTCAATGCTCACAAAGGTGGGATCACAGTCCTTGAAAATCGCACCCACTCCCACGTCGTTGTCGCGCCAATCCAGCCAGCTTGACTGCTCAACGGTCCAAAACTTGTTAGCGTAAATAGCATAGAATGAAAAAACGCTGTTCCCCACCACGCGCAACACGCTGTGATCCGATACGCTGAATCCGTGGCGCAGATAAAGAAGACTTGCCCCAAAAGAAATTCTATTGTTGAGAAGCGCAAAAACAGAGTGATCACTCACAGTGAGGATATTAATGTACAGCATGTGTGCGTATCCATCGAAGCTGCAGTACCGCGTGTACAGCGAGCTGCCACCCACCAGCGTCAGCATCCCGGTCGAGTACAAACCAGACCCCCCATACCTCAATGCATGCGCCTTGACGTTGCTGACCAACAGCGAGGAAGCATCAAAAAAAA